AATTGGGGGGGGGGGCAATAACCTCCCCCCTGGTGAAAAAGGTATTCTTTCAATTCTTTGGTATCAATGCATTCGTTGGCCACAGCAGCACGAGGGTGTTGAAAATGCCCTAAAATGGCAGCTCGTGGATGAGGTCATTCATACCAGACGAGGCAATATTGATGTTGTCGATGTTGATTTTACTTCCTGATACAATGTAGACAAGTTGCCATTTTGACAAGATTCACGGGCAGCGCACTCGTACAGCGGGTCGTCGTATTGTTGCTCGATTGGCGGACGGGGGCGGCGCTCCCCGTCAGTCGTCATCGCGTTCGATGTAGCTCTTGGAGGCCGAGCGCGCCATCTGGCGGGCGAGGTATCGATCTCTGGCTGAGCTTAGGGTCTGCTCGTCGGAACGTTTGGCAAACTTGCCGACTTTGGTCTCCTGCGTTTGGCCTTCCTCCTTCCTCGGCTTCTCTTCCTCTCCCACCGAGTCTTTGCGCGACTTCCCCTCGCCGTCTTTTTCCCTCGGTCCGTCTCGGCGTCTGCTTCTTTGACTCTGGCCGTCTCGGTCCCTCCGCTCGTCCTCCGGCTCTCGCTTCCCGCGCGCGTCCCGCTCGCCGTCGCTTCCCGACGATGCTGACCTGCGTCTGTAATGGCGTTTGGAATGCGAAGAGGAGGGCGTCTTGCTGAAACCAGGCTGCTTCTCGCGAGCTTCCTCTCCGTCGCTTCCGGGACTTGGGGTGATGTCTCTCTCTTGGGTTGTGTCTGGAAGCTTCCCGTCGTCTGACTTCTCACTTCTGCACAAGAGCCCGCACAAAAGAATGTAAAAGAGTGTGTGTGTGTGTGTGTGTGTATATATCTAAAAGCTACGGTGTGTTGCTGAAGACACAGACAGACGTACTTGTTGGCCAAGCGTTCCGGGATGGCTTCCTCTCCGACTGTCTGGTTGAGAAGATGTCTGTAGAAACCGCTCAGATCTTTTTGCTTCCTCACGTCCAACGCAGCTGGTGAGGGAAATAAACAATGACTTCCTTCATTTCATTTTAGATGTTGCTCGATGCATTTTGTGATACGTTAGAAGCACCCAAGTGCGAGTAAAGAGTTATTTCTGTGGGGGGGGTGGGGGGAACTGTTTCAAAGCCAGAATGGGGGGAAAAAAGGACATGCAAAATGTGCTTTTATTATTTAAAAAAACAAAAATGAAAGCGAGCAATTTGCAGCGGGTCTGACCTTCAATGGCGGCCTGGCGCCTCTCACGCTCCTCTTCGTCCTTCTGTTCCTGGAGCTTGCGTTTGTAGGCCGAGGTGACGTAGGCCTCCTTGTCGGCGAACTGGTCGCCCTCGGCCTCGCGCTCCTTCTGGATCTTCCGCTCCTCTCTGCGTTCCTGCTCCTTCTTGCGGCTATTCACTGCCTTCATCAGCTGATGGATGTACTTGGGCTGCAAGTGCGCAAAAAAAAAGTCACTCGATGGAGTACAAAAAAAAAAAAAAAAAAAAACAGGTTGGTTGAGTGACCACACAACCTTCTTGTCTGCCCCCGACAAAACTTTTTTACTGTTGTCCAGCCTTTGTCTTTGGATCTCATCATAGACGGCGTCATAGTCGTACACGGTGCTGTCCTCCTCCAGGGCCTTCTTCATCTCCAGCTGAGTCTGGAAGCAAACGGCGATAGGCAGCCCGTCCGTCACGTCACGTGGTAAGAAAAGAGCGAGGGGGGGGGGTCTTGGCCTCACCTGCCTCATCGTCTTCTTCTTAGCTGCTTCTTTTTGCAGACTCTCGCCAACAGACGCCTGATTGAAAATAAGCCGTCGTTTAGATGGCGTTTTTAAACAGACGGACGGTGCGTTCAAAGTCAAAACGTGCGGACTGATTGCGCCACCTCATCGTCGGAGTCGTCGCCAAACACAGAAAGTTTCTGGGGACGCGTTGGCTTGGTCAGGCATTTTTTCTGAGGCAGGATGAGCCCGTACCTGAGTGAGTGCGCAAGAGGATCGTCATGAAGACGCAAAGGTCCGTGACTCTGACGAGCACCTTTCATAAATTCTCGGTTGAAACGCGACAACTTGAAACATTTGTAGGCATCTTTCTTTTTATCGATTTCATTGGGACCGCGCACATTCATCAACACGACGGTGCAAATGCGCCGGACTTAGCATGAATGCTAGTTTTCATCCGTAGTCCCAACTGCACGTCCGTGCTTGTGGGGCAAAGAAACAAACGTCGAAGAAAAGAAAAAGCCGAGCCTTGAAACGAACAGAGGGGCACAAGTGAAAGGCACGGAGCCGTTCGTTTGTTGTCATCCTTTTTGCTGTCGCTTGTGCTCCTCTTTGCAGTGCTGCGTTCAGAGCTGGATGAGCGACAGGGCCGGTAAACCGTTTCCGAGACGCTTCAAAAAGGACGAAAGTAACGAGTACGTCTTCCATTTCAAACGTTTAAAAACCCTAAGCGTCCACTTGTGCGTTCGTATGTTAGCTCGCACTTACTGTTTTGCTGGCACCGCCATGTTGTCTCTTCGGATTTGACGCTTGCGGCAGATTCGACCCATTTGTAATCCTGGCAAATTGTCACAAAACAATCAATCAGGGCTATATGAATGTCGACATATCCATAAATATCAGTGTACAACAAAGTCTATATTTTCATCTAGTCTTCTGACACGAGGTTGCGAACGCGTAACGAAAGTGCGACTGCCGCGGATGGCGACCGACGATCAAGATTCTATTGACGTTTGAGCGCTCGATTTTCGGACGCGAAGGGTTGGGATGGGCGGCGAGCTGCGCGAGCGGCTGGCTGCGAGTTTGCGACGGCGTTCGAGCGAGTTTGTGACGAAACGCAACGAGGTGTGAAATTGTTTGAAGGTGGAGGGACAGTTTTTTTTTTTTTTTTTTTTAAGGTGGAGGGACAGTCGCATTCTCATTTTCCGCTCGATGACGCCATAACTCCTGCGCGGTGCATACTTGCGCGTTACCAAGACTAGACAGCACGCGATGTACTCTTGATGTGGATAGCGTATGCATTTTAATATCATAGAAGTGTTTGTGAACGTTGTAACAATGTGCTTTGGTGCAACGTACGGTGTTTTGGAATTGACATTCGTCATCACTTGGTTAGTTCCTGTTCCGCGTACTGCGAGTATGTGAGAGCTTGACGACGGTTTCTTCGGCAAGCGCGACGCTTTCGGCTCGGGCTCGCAAATCGTCGTTGGGGGGGCTACAGGGTACGCGCGCGGCTCAGGGAAACACGGGGGCAGCGGGGGACAAGGTCCGGCAGCCTCTCACTCAAAAAGTCCAACACGCTCCAAAGGCAGCAGGAATCTCAAGCGATGAGTTAGGAACCGCTCATTGAGTCACGAGTGATGGAAAGTTGCTTCCAATTTGATTTCTGTTTGTGTTTGTGTGGTTTGCTTTTGCTTCGTACGGCGATTTCTTGGCCTCATTGACTAATTCCATGATCCGATCTTCTTCTCCTCCTCGCGAGGGTCGCGGGCGGGCCGGGGCCCATCCCAGCTGCCTCCGGGCAGAAGGCGCAGGACACGCTCGACTGTTCGCCGGCAAATCACGGGGCACGCGGTCACCCCTAAGGCCAATTTAGAGCGAGGGCGTCCGGGCTCGGTCCTGCCCGTTTGCCGTTTGTGCCGGCTGCAACGCACCCGATTCCGATCATCCGGATCCTTGTCACGCTGCTTCCGAGCTGAGCATTTGAATCAGGTGCGTCGCGGAGGTGGCGAACGGCGGCGCGCCCGTTTTCACTCAACCTACATTGCATGTTTTGGAATGCGGGCGAGGAAGCCGGAGCACCCGGAGAAAAGCCGCGCGGGCGCGGGGAAAACAGACAAAGTCCCCGCAGGAAGGCGGGACGCGGGATCGGACCCCGACGCCGGCGCGCTCGGCGGTCCGCACCGTTGCCGCCCTGGTCGGGAAGCGCCGCGAGGAGACCCCCGCCCGGCGGAACAAGAAGCTCCCGGCTGGTCGTCGTCGTCGTCGACAGCAGCTTGCGACGCGTGTCGCCTCCTGCACGGCGAGATGGAAGCGAGCCACCCGCGGGCGGTGACGTCCCCTTTCCCGGAACACAAGAAGCTCGTTCCAAAATAGACGGTCACCTAATACCCCCCGCCACCCCTGCTCATGCGGTCGCCCCCC